TCACACAGTCACACTCCTCGCACTCCTGTCACTCACACAGTCGCACTCCTGTCACTCACACAGTCACACTCCTGTCACTCCTGTCACTCACACAGTCGCACTCCTGTCACTCACACAGTCACACTCCTGTCACTCACACAGTCACACTCCTGTCACTCACACAGTCACACCTACAGAGAATTTGGTAACTCCAATTAGCCTCAGCATGACTTTGGAAAGTGGGGGGAAATCCAGAGCACACGGAGGAGACCCCACGATGACACGGGGAGAAGATGCAAACTCCACAAACCCTGGTTGCAGATGGGGGGGGGGGGGACAGTACTACGCACCGCAGCACTATGCCGCCCACATTTTAATAATGCACCCTTAAACAAACATAATACTGTTAAACAAATTTAACTGTTAAACCGTTAAACATTGATTGCAGGATCTAATGTGTGACACTGCCACCCCCCACAGTGGGATTCACCAGCACTCGAATTACGCATTTGTGCTGGGGCCCCCGAGCTGTGAGGGCCTCCTGTTGGTCACTACACTACAGGGGCCCCAAAGTGACTTTTTTAGTGGGGCCCCAGAAACAAAAAATCTGGCCCTGGCTGCTCTCCCCCACCCTCCATAATGGGACCGGCCTCCTGGTCGCTCTCCCCCACCCTCCATAATGGGACCGTCCTCCTGGCCGCTCTCCCCCACCCTCCATAATGGGACCGTCCTCCTGGCCGCTCTCCCCCACCCTCCATAATGGGACCGGCCTTCTGGCCGCTCTCCCCCACCCTCCATAATGGGACCGTCCTCCTGGTCACTCTCCCCCACCCTCCATAATGGGACCGGCCTCCTGGCCGCTCTCCCCCACCCTCCATAATGGGACTGGCCTTCTGGCCGCTCTCCCAGTTTTGCCCCACACATTTTCCTGCTGCACAATAATCTCGGCTGCATGCTTACTGCAGGCTAAGGGTCACAAAGCAAGCTGGCAGGCAGGCAGGCCGGTTGTCAGACGTACCACATTCCGGGGATGAGGCCTTAGCAGCCACAGACTAACTCCTTTAAATATGGCTCATCTCAATTTCAGTTTTTAATTGATTTTTATATAGCGCCTTTCACAAGGGAGTTGCCCCAAGGCGCTTTACATGACCGCTCTGTTTTCTTTTGTAACCAGTGGGTGCATATCGTATTTATTACAGGGGGGGCTTCAGGAAGGATCCCATTTCCCAGACGATTAAGCTGTACCTGCACTGCAAAGACGATGAGAAGCTGACTCAGAGGTCTACTGCGATGGGAAACTTCTCTTATTGTTCCATCAAAATCCATCTTGGCAGTTAGGATATGATGTCACAAGCTATGATGCATAGAGTAACCTGGAACCCAGCTCTCCTCCAGGATTGGAGCTCCTGCACCTTTTACTTCCCAGTTTGCCGAGCCCATCCTTAATGCCTGCTTTCCAGTTAGGTACTTTGGTGGTCAGATATATAAGTATGTTTGCAAAACTGAATAACATTCAGCTGTGATTTAGAAGACGATGTTTTCACATTTACTTATTTAGCAGAAACTTTACTCCATAGCGACATAAATTTGAGAAAGAGGGGTTAGCCAGTCCCTGGGTGGGGGGTTAAAGGCTTCGCTCAGGGAGCCAATAGTGACATCACTCTGCCAGGTGCAGGATTTGATCCGAGGACCTTCCGATCACAGACATCGCATCCTAACCCACCACACAATGCACTTTTAAGTTAAAGACTGTTTAGCCTGATTAACCTGTGCTACGTTGCACAGTACCTGCTGGGGCGTGAAGCTTTTCCATTTACAGTGAAGGCTCTCACAGTGCATCTTCTTTGCTTTGTTAGGCAGTTGGTCATCTTATGGCCATGTTGTGTAGTTCAGTGGATTAATCCACCAGTGGTTGTGGTTGGAAGGTTGTT